AGAGGAGAGCCGTGTGTCCCCTCAGGAGCGAGCGTTTGGGAGGCGGCGGGGGCCCCGGGGCCCGGGGCCCCAGCGCCTCGGGGCCGTGGCCTCGGGGCCGCGGCCAGGGGGCCGCGGTCGGGGGGGCCAGGGAAGGGGGGCCAGGGCCAGCCGGGGCTGGCGGGGCCGGGGGGCCAGGGCTGGGGCCGTGGCTGGGGCCGGGGCTTGGGCTCGGGCGCGGGACCGCGGCCAGAGCGGGGGCCGAAGCGCGGGGAGGGCTCCCCTGCAGGGAGACCACCCCCAGGGCCCCTCCCCACGGGGGGATCGCCTGGGAGGGCCACTGGGCCCCCGGGGGGTCGGTAATCTGACCTGGGGCCCCTTCTTTGACCCCCCCCTACCCCCCTACCCCTCTCCGAAGCCCCCCCCCTGCCACCCTCCCCGTCAGGGAGGGGAAAAGGGGAGGGAATCGACTTAACTGCGACGTTTCTTTCACTGCGTTGCTTTTCTCTGTTCATTTGTTTTGGATTTCCTTGGGACTGGCGACGACGACGAAGACGACGACAGCGTCTCACTCACGCCGACTGGGTCGGCGGATTCATGATATGTATTCATTGGTCTGAGGTGGGAGCTCCAAGAGTTCCATTTCGAACATGATCCGCCTTCCATCCTCGTAGCTGCGCATGCATTGCAGACGAATGGGCGCGGCGCTCAGCCGATGGCTTCATATGAAAGCGGCCCGCCTTCTTCCAACTTTGTACTTGTTGCACACTTGATGGTAGTGTGCGCGGCGCTAAGGCAACACATTTATTTTGAAGAGGGCCCCATCCATCCTTGTAGCTGTTGCGAGCCCTAAGAACAGATGTGCGCGGCGCTGAGGCGAGAGCTCAATGTTTATAAAAGCCCGTCCTCCATCCCTATCAATGTTTGGAATGATCAAAGAGGGCAAGAGGAAATCTCAGGCGAAACGCCCCGCAGACCCTACTTGCACGTTTGGTGGTTTTTGACGAGGAGTTATCTACACGCGAATCGGATGGATGATGAGGAGGAGGAGTTGGACGAGGAACAGGGGGAGGAGGTGGGGAGGAGGAGGAAAGGGAGGCCGACCCCGCTTACTCCCGCATCTCCAGCTGCCCTCCCAATCGCAAGCGCATCCCAGCCTGCAAGATGATCGGGCGGGTGGCTCTGGGGGGCGATTGATGTGGGGACTGAAGACATGGGCCCCGAAGGGGCATTCTTGGGGGCCCTTTTTGGAGCCAGCAGGGGCCCAAAGGGGGCCCTGAAAGGGCCCCCTCTGGGCCCCCAATCCATCGGGTGCTGCTAGGAGTGCCCCTGGCCCCAGGCCTCGGTGCCACCAGGATCTCCAAGGAGGCCCGCCCACGGGGCCTCCAGAGCGGCCCAGAGGGTCCCGGGGGCTCCAGCGTGGAGCGAAGAGTTGGGGGCACCCTGGGGCCAGGGGCACCTGCAGCAACCCCCGGATTGAGGTCGACCCCCCAGAGGTCTGGACCCTTTCCCGGGGACCAGTCCCGCATCCGGAGTCGTGATTTCACGGTCCCGAGGCCCGGGAAGGGCCCCCGGAGGCCGAAGATAGCGGAACACCCAGGTGTCGGGCGTCTCGAAAAAGTCGAGACGGAGGTTCTTCATAGTTTTCGGCCTCTCGGGGCCCTCGCCGGGCCTCGTGACCGTCAAAAAACGACTCGCGGGATGAAAAACCGGTCCCGGGGAAGTGGTCGGGAGGTCGGGGGCCCGCGTCTCGAAAAAGTCGAGACTTCGGATTTCTGGGCACCTCCCGTCACGATTTCTTCCACAGTGTGAGGAGGCCTGGCTTTCGAGCGGCACGCCGGGGCACGCAGGAACCGCCGCGGAGGGCAAGAGGCCTCGGAGGCAGCCGGGCCCCGCAGCTCCTCCTTGGCCCGCTCGGGCCCCGAGGGGGGCCCGCCTCCAGGGGGCCCCTCTTCGGGGCCGGGAGCCACATGCCGCAGGACGCAGTGCTGTGGCCCCAGGGGTAACATCGAGGCCCAGGACCTCCAGAGCTCCTCGAGGCCTGATCCGAGGCGTGATCGCGTCGTAAAAAGTCCAGGGCGGAGGTTTTTGCTGCCGTTTCCGGCCTCTCGAGACCCTCGACGGGTCCTGGGACCGGCAAAACAGGGCTGAGGATGAGGAGCGGGTCCTGGGGAAAAGGCCAGGACTTCCGGGGACCGCGTGTGGACAAAAATCAGTGCGTCGCACGTCTGGGATAGCATCGCGACGGAAGGTGTGTCGTGATTTTCAGCCTCTGGCGGCCCTCGCTGGTCCTCAGAAACGGCTCAGGATGAACGGCTCGAGGCCTCCGGGGGTCGACGTTACGAACAAATCAGCCAATGACGTCGGGGCTCTGCGCCCGCTTCCCCGAGTGTGCTCCTCTCCTCCATGCCGCTGCGAGCGCGGCCGGCCGAAGCGCCCAGAGGTCGCAGGGAGTGCGAGAAGCCGAGCTGACGGACATCCTCCGCCGCTGCACGGGCAGCGCCCAGCGCTCCAGCTTCGGCCACGGGGCCGCCCTGGAGCTTCCAGGCGCGGCCAACAACCTCGTGGGCATCCTGCCCTCCGGAGGCCCCGGCGGCCCGCTCGGCGCCGCCCCCGACGCCCCCCAGTTCGGCCGCCAGGGCTCGCCGCCGACGCCGGTGCAGCCGCCCCCCACGCCAGTTTTCGGCAGCGCCTCGTCGCTGCAGCAGGCGGCGGAGGCGCAGGCTCGGAGCCCCGGCCAGCGCAGCGCGGCCGACGGCCGGCACGCCCTCGCCACCGTCGGCGAGAAGCCGCTGTCCCCCCTGTCCGGCGACATGGCGAGCCCGAACTCCCCCCGAGAGCCCCGAGAGCTGAGCTGATTCCAGGGTCTCAGCCCAGGCTCCGGGCGGAGCAGTCTCTTCTGCTCCACCGCGCGAGGGGTTTTAATGGTAATGAGCTAGTATTAGTTTGCATGCTTGGGGCCGGCTGGTGACCGATGCTGAGGGCGGGGGCGGGAAGGGTCTCAAACGCAACTCGTCGCCTCAGCTTTTAGTTCGGCTTTCGTTTGTGGCTATGGCTTTCTCTACCACACCTTTGGCTACATGCTCGACCCGAGGTTGCGCGTGAGAAACGTGTGCTCAAGCTCTAGATTGTGTCGCAGCGTCGCTTCGGCACGTAAAGGGTTTGACATCGATCTGAGCTTCAGTACTTTTCTTTACAGCGCCTGCTTGACAGTTCACTTGTACGTTCGCTCTAGTTTCCGCTTTCGCTTCGCCTGCGGCTGTTCACCAAGCTAGCATTAATTCCCAACCATCCTGTGGTTGGGTCCTCGTTTTGAAGAGATAGTGCCCCGCGTAACTCCTCCTCTCCTCTCCTCCTCCCCCTCTTCCTCCTTCCTCAAAGAGGAGCGCCGCCCTCTCTCTCCTCTCCTCTCCTCGCCTCGCCTCTCCTCTCCTCTCCTCTCCTCTCCTTTCCTCTCCTCTCCTCTCCTCTCCTCTCCTCTCCTCTTCGCTCCTTTCCTCTCCATTTCGGTAGACCCCTCACACGTTTCGTGGCCCCACAGGGAGC